GTGAAATTTTGCATTTTGAATTAAATGCCTTTGTTTCTACAAAAGAGGTAAGAAAGGCATTCCACAGGAAAAACAAAAAACCCAGCCAAACAAAAAGAACTCCATAGAAATATTAGTATAGATAGGAGAGAGATTTGTAAATGTGATGTCCTATGTGTGCCTTCTTAGTCATTTATGGGCAAGTGAATAAAATCACAGAATTATGTTTGTTTCCAAGCCTATATCAGGTTTTTGTTATTTGAAATACATGTTTAGCTGAAAGCATAAGTCTACTGTGTAATAGTCAGGACTGCAAAACCAAGCATGCTTCTGACATTAATTAGAAGACATTAAAGTTAACACTGCAGGTGCAAAACGGATCCAAAGCGTTTCTGTATATGCCATAGAGGTAGGATTAATCTCATTTTTACTGTGTGAAAGTTAGGCAGTGAATCTCAAATCGTCAGGTGGACTCCTTAGCTGTACCAATAGGCAAAAGCAAAGCACTTCAGGGTGTGATTCATCCAAAATTAAGGCAGGTGTCTGAGAGAAGGGAGGCATATCTCCCTCAGAGCATGTCTCTCTCTGTGCTCTAGAGAGAGTGCAAGTGACTCTCTTGCAAGATGGATCCCACCATTGGAAATGTCATTGTTACTTTTGCTACTAGATCACTGCCTTACTTGGTGCTTACTAAAGCTTGATCTTCAATATCTTCTCTATTTATCCTTTCCCTGTAGTGTGTAGGCTTCTCCATCACTTTACAGCATGCTGCTCAATTTAGCATAGAACACTGAATTTATTCATTTTCAATGGGATTCCCTCATGTTCTCAAGTACAGTATTTGTTAGCTCTTTACAAACACCAATTAAAATCTTCAAAGATGAGTCAAAAAATGAAGGCATTATTATTACCCCTTCTTTTTACAAAGGAGGAATGAAAACACCTAGATTAGAGTCGATGAAAGCCTCCTGCATTTCAGGTGTGCACGGACTGATTTTTCATGGCTTACAGCACTATACATCATTCTAGAAGCATGAGACACAGCCTGTTGTGACCTGGATTGCTACTTGTGAGAGCCTTCTGATTTCTGCAATCTGCCCTTTCCCAGGTCTTGTGTTTGCCACGGTGAAAAACTAGAACCTTTGACTCCAGTTAACACTGTTAGTAGCAGCTTTTTTCTGGGACAATACCACTCTGGAATAACGCCACTTCGATTTTTGTGGCTCGCCCACACTCTGTAATGTGTCATACAACCAATTTCACTGTAAGAGCATTGTTTCTGGCACTGCAGATCCATTTTAGTTCAGGTTCTGCAATGATGGTGCTGCAACAAAAGCAGCTGAGCCTTAGCCGACAGCAGCCTCCTCCATTGCCCAGTCATAACACATTCCCACAGCACACACAGGCTATTCTTTGCCCCAAGTAAGGCAGGGAGTCCTGAGGGGAAACCACAGGAGTTTGCAATTAGGTCATGAAAAGAGTTTATGATCATATTCAGAAGGAGGCTGGAGTAAGGTTTCACAAGCCATTTGAATTTACTTTTCATTCTTGATTTTGCAAATGTAGATTTCTTCTAACAATTTAAAAATATTGCCATATACTATTTTGAACAAGTCAGCAAGGGGAGAGGAGATGTGTCCCTGAGTGAAAGCTCTGCCTGGGTCATCAGCAGCAGTAGGTGCTGTGTCTGGCACGCTTCCAGCAGCTCAGCTCACACTCTAGGTGATGGCAATACTGTCGTCTCCTGGGCGCTAGAGGGGGATGGCTACACACGCCGCATTGGTGGATTTCACAGCTGGAGAAACAGTGCTTCTGTTTGCAATCCCAGAAGCTAAATAAAGTGGTGACAAACCTTTCTTCATTGCTTCTCTCTCTTTGTCTCTCCCTCTTTCTCTCTCTTTTTCTTTTTTTTCCTGGAGTATGGATTTTCTGTTGTCATCCTCTTGCCTTCTGTTCATTTCAGTCTCTGCTTCTTCATTCCAATGCATTATTTCCATTGACTTCTAAAGGCTCTCTGGTGCTGTGCATTTCCACTTTCCAGGGAAAGCTCCTGTTTTTGCTCCTGAACTCTGCTCACAATCCCTCACCTCTCCTGTTCCTGCCAGTTTCTTGTACCTGCACAGCCTCCAACTTCATGTGACACTTAAACACAGTAAATACAGGTTCTTACTCTGTCCTCAGCAAGACAAGTGGTATCTCAGCCCCTTTGAACAGGATACCAAGATAAGATCTGTTGATCTTCTGAAGAATCTTGTATTCAAGCACAGTGAAGTGAGATCCATGAGTATCAGATCTTGTGGGAGTTCCATTTGAAGGCTAGTATTTGCCTTCATGGTAGAAGGTAAAGTCATCTTGAAAATCCAAGATGTTGAACACAGTCTTCCCTGTGGAGCACTAGGCACTTTTTTCAGACAGGTTTACATAGACTCACACCAGGCTAAAAGAATCATCAGCAAATACAGCATTGTCTTCTAGGTGAGCCAAGCCATGGGTCTTGTTGGCATCGTGCCCTCCAATTCAAGGAGAGCTGTTTTGAAGCTGTTGTATATCTAGATAAAGACCTTGAACAGATTTTTTATAATAAAGCTGTGAGCAGAGACTATCTGGTGTGCTCTCATTAGCCTGAAATTCAGGCTACAGAACCATGAACCATGTCCTGGGTTCAGGTTGTTGGTGAGTCATTAAGCAGGCCTTTTACTTATGAAGGTAAGCTGGATTCTGCATAGAAATGAGCTCTATTAATAAACTGCTTCTGTCCCTCTCTTCCCCTTTTTTTTTGACCTTTTCTTTTGTTTGTTTGACCTTTTTGCTCCTTTCTCTAAGCCCCCATGACTATTTTTTATTATGCATATTTTCTGTATATTTTACCTTTCTAAAATTCCTCAGTCTTCCCACTGAGCTGAGGGTATTCCTTCCCCTCTCTACACAGCAGTGGGAGCTCTGAGATGAGAGCATAGCCCTTCCTCCCTTTTCCATTGCAGAAGCTGCTGCGTGTGCAAGGCCAGCTGAGCCCTGCTCCTTCCAGCCCCACCTGTGCTGCACTCTCTGGGTGCAAGTGGAGCATTTGTAGTAGAGGTAGAACCTTATAGGACTTGGGAGGGGTTTGAGCTCATATATCTGCTACCAAGTGATGTTGTAGATACCAAATGTACAAATGTCAGTTTTGGATGTATTGTGCTTGCTTAAATCTTGAGAAGAACAGACAAAAAGCAAATGTCTGGAACCAATGTTTTCATTCAGCATTACAAACAGCTCACCATGGAATATCCTCTCACCCTGCACTGCAGCAGATCTGTGGCAGTACTATTGAACCATTTTAATGAAAGAAAAGCTACAAAAAACTTCAACTCTGAGGACTTTCCATGGAAAATTATCAGTCCAAAAATCCGCAGTTCTGAAAGGTTTAGTTAGCTTAGGGACATAGGAAGGTGAGTTGTGTTTACTGCAGAGATTGTTACTTCTGTGATCACTACTGCCTAGGAGCTTAATTGGTTTGTCTTGGTTGGAGTTTGCTTCTTCCCCTTGATTTTTGCAATTTATTCCTTGATTAACAAAGTGGGAGAAAAATGTGTGTACTTTTGTCAAAGTGGATAGGTACTAAACTCTTATTATTATTTAAACTTCTTTTTTCCTTAGTTGTTTGACTTCTGGAAGTCCTTTCAACATCCATCTCTGTTGATGTGCATTTTTACATATATATATTATATATATATATATTTACAAGTTCTCTTTCCTTTGACTTTAGCTTGACATTTTAGGGAATTCTAAGCTGTCATACTCTTTGTTGTGTTGTCTGTCCATGTGTCTGTCAGTGCCCATTTGGTGAGTATGAGTCCTCTTGCCAAGCAAAACTAGGCTGGATCTGCTACTGAAAAACCTCAGAAATTAATTCCCTTAAATTTCATGGAAACCATTGCGAAAGGAGTGGGGCAGGAAATGGATACAAATAACTTCCCCTGTTGCAGCTGAAGTATAAGCTCAATGTTTTTTTCATCCTGATAGATGGGCAGTCAGCACACACATTGTTTGGCACCCACCCCAACACGTGCTGCCTCTTCTCCAACCAGACGGGTAGGGGACAGAGAGATTTTTGGGGCATGCCATAGAGCATTTGGAGGTGGAAACATGGAACTCTTGCAGTGAGAGATGCAGGAACAGATTGTACACATCTGTAGGAAACCATATTTTAGCATTTCTGCTGTCCAAGGAATATCTGACATCTATTTGGAAGGAAGTGAGGGTAATTATAGAAGGGTGCAGGCAGGGCTAAAGGGAAAAGGTCTTAAATGTGTAGGAAACTGGGCTACATTAGTTCTGCCGCTTATGGCACGACACAGTAACTTTCAGTCTTTGTTAATCCCATTCTGGAAACAGTCCTGAACAACGGCTTTTGTCCAGTCAATAAATTTTTGATTCATGTTGTTTAGTTCCTCAGTTAGGGAAGGACTTTGTAAATAATGGGAGAGGGATTTAATGCCCACAGTTTGCTGCAAGACTTAGAAAAGAACCTAAAAGAAAGCAGTTAGTAAGGGGAAGCTCCATCCAGCAATTACAGCCAAGGACTAGAGTTCTCAGTGGAACAGAAAAGGGACTGGGGTCAGGGACTGACAAGGAAAAGGAAGGATTTATACTGATTTTACCATTGACCAGCCTCTTATGTATCTATCTTCAACTGAATAAAATTTACCATTGCCCCTGTTCCTTAAAGCCAAAAGCATAAACAGCTGGAAAAAAGCTCACTAGAAATAATACAGTTGAACCTAGCACAACTGGAAAGTATGCTGGTGCTCCTAGACAATCTTTAAATACTTAGACTAAGGGGTTTTTAAAGCACACAGCATCATGAAATGCTTAATTTTCTCTGCTTTTAATTATAAAATGTTACAAAATTACTTCATCGTTGAAGCATATATAGCTTACAAATATTCATCAATGATTTGCTTGAAATGTGTTTATTTAGCTCATAATATTCTCTCATCTCTTCAAAATGAAATATTTTATTGCTCAGATGTCACTTGTTTTCAAAGCCAGTCTGGCTTGTTATATAGGGTTTCTAGAAGTAGTACATTTAGGGTGGCCTCTCCTAGGATGGGCCTGAAGAAGAGCTCTTCAATAGCAGCTGCATCAATGTCTCGAAGAGACGCGATTAGCTGAAGAATCGAAGCAAACCTGCTGAGGCTTCCATGGAGCATTGTTGAGATAAATTCCATCAGGGCTTTCTGAGCTTCCTGCTGCAGTAATTGTACGTAAGGGAGACATTTCAGGACACAACATTCTGTCAAAACAAAAAGTAAAATAACAAATCCCGAGTAAACATTTCTGTTCTGTGTCTTTTGTAATGATGGGTGTCTGGATTTCTGGCTTATAGGACTACTTTCTCCATAGAAAAAAATAAACACTTCTTAAACATACTTTTTTGAAAAAGAAGGTATGTGTAGCTCAATAATTTGAATGATCATTGGGCAGCATTGTAATCACATTGGAATCTAGCCCATTACATTAAAATCCAACTTTGAAATGGTAACAGCGGGTAATTTTGACTCAGTACAGATGGAGAAGGAGTTCTGTAGTGCTGTCTACCCACCAAATGATGCTAAGATATTAGTCTGGGCAGGTGAAAATATTCCAGCTCTAATCCACCCTACCTAGGTAACAGCAGGAGATGGAGAGGATGGTTTGGAGCAGTGAGCAGGCTCGTGGCCTGAAGATGTAGGTTTCCAGTACACCCAGCCCCATCTCCTTCCTATTGTTGCCTCTGCTTACTAGTGTAAGCTGGGGCACTGTGGTTCACTACACTATCTAGGTATTTTCATTTACAGTCTAAAAAGAGCAAGAGGAGTGCCTCAGCAAGAGGAGCGTCTGAAGGAGAGGCCTTTGCCCTATGGAGTCACGGTCATGAGCCTCAATCAGGTATCTCCCATAGCATGTGACCTGCTGGCTCACTGAGGGTGTTTGTGGGTGCCAGAACTCAGTGCTAAGGACACCCTGTGTTCATCCTTTGCCTCTGAAGGGAGTGCCTTGTCATGTAGCTCTCAGCAACCTGTTGCCTCCTGTCCTGACTCTCTAAGGATATCTTTTCTCTCCTAGAATTGTTGCAGTCTGGACAGAGGGTAGAACACACTATTTGGCAACTTTTACAGTGACTGACCCCATACCTCCCTGGAATAGAATCTGAATAGCTCACACCAGGTGTGTTTCACACAGTATCATTCACTTCAGTGTGGGACGTTCAGCATTCTTGCCTAGTGCCCTGTACCAGGGCAAAACCAACCTGGCTGGGTTTCCTTCAGTCTGTAACTGGCTGACTGTTGTCAGCCTTCAGCAACTCTCTTGTTCCTAGACACCACCGCCAGAGGAGAAGCCTCAGCCAAACCTGCAACCAGGCTAGCCAGAAATTAAGTGTTTTCAAAAGTCATCATCTCCCCCAGGATTACCAGCAGCTGCAAGCTGTGAGGATGATTCCAAATGTTAGATTTTTCATGGAAAGGAAATTGTCAGGATTTTGTGGATTCGGGATGAAGTTGCAATAGTTTATATCTCTTAAAATATGCTTAATTTCCCCATTTGGTCTTCTTTTCTATGTAACCAAATACTGGTTTTAATTTACACATTATGAGACACTTCTTGTTCTGAGATATGTTGTAATAATATTCAGTCAAACACATGTTTCCAGCTGTACTGTAAACCTCTTAAGAGTATCCTTTTTTTTAACAGAAGCCCTGTCACAGCCTCGATGGAATTTTTGAATATATATATGTACATAAATATGTATATATATGGCACTGATATAATAACAGCACTGCTTTTCACTGTTCCCATCTCTTCACTGTGCAGTCCCAATTGCTCTTCAGACAATTGTCAAAAACACAAAAATGTTTTGTGTTTTTGACAATTGTCAAAAACACAAAAACACCTCTCTCTGTGCTGTTCCTGTGTGGCAGAACAGTCCTACCTGCTCCTTCCCTTGACTTATTGCCTGGTTCCAAGTAGAGAAGGCCTTGCAGCTGGACCCTTCACCCACAGATACTGAGACAGCTCCAAAGCCACCCAGCCAAAGCTCCCCTGGGAAGAGTGGGGATGCCAATATGTTCTGGAGAGTCTGGATTCTGTTGATGCAAGGGGCTGGTTTACCCTCAGGGGCTGGTGCACAATTTCTTCTTAGCAGGCTCTTGCTGGCCCAGAGGTGGTCAATCAGTAACCCAGCCAGAGCCTCCCACACAGAGGTGCTGCACAGATTCTGTTGTTATTTCCAGCTCTGGGTCTCTCAGCATAAGAAGGACATGGACCTGCTGGAATGACTCCAGAGGAGGGCCCTGAAGATGATCAGAGGGCTGGTGCACCTCTCCTATGAACACAGGATGACAGAGTTGGGGTTGTTCAGCCTGGAGAAGAAAAGGCTTTGGAAAGACCTATGAGCAGCCTTCCAGTGCCTAAAGGGGCTTTACAAGAAAGCTGGACAGGGACTTTTTACAGGGGCCTGTAATGATAGGAGAAGGGGAAATGGCCTTGAACTGAAAGAAGGTAGGTAGGCTTAGGTCAGATGTGTAGGCAGAAATCCTTTACTGTCAGAGTGGTGAGGTGTTGGAGCAGGTTGCTCAGAGATGTGAATGCCACAGCCTCAGGGACTGGCCAGAAGGCCAGGCTGGATGGGGCTTGGAGGAACCTGGTCTAGTGGAAGGTGTCCTTTCCAATGGCAGAGGGGTTGGATTAGAAGATCTTTAGGGTCCCTTCCAACCCAAAGCATTCTATGATTCTTGTAGGAGGACCTAGGCTCCATCGTGCTGCCTGCCACCCTCTTGCCAAAGGGATTTTTCTAATCATAGTAAGCACAATGTCTGTGCCACAAGAGATCCCTCAGGGTACAAGCAAAGCTTTACATAGTTGTCATGCTTCTTATCCAAGTGATGGCTGCTACAGCTGCATCCCTGGATGTCCTGTGGAACTCCAGCTCATGACCCAGCTCTGGACCGCTCTGGTCCTGGCCCTTCCCCATTGCTTCAGTCAGTTTTGGTGGTCCCAACAGAAATAAAACATTAAGGGTGGTAATGAGGTACTTCATAATCCAAAAGAGAGTTAGTCACTGCTGGTGAAAGCCTGAAAGCCTTTTAGAACTGAGGCCTGCAAAAATAGTAGCATTTTGCCAAACATCAAGCCAAAACTTGAAAAGTTTGAAAATGTGTTGCAAATATGTAGAAAACATTTTCTGAGTTTGGTGGAAGGTGTTGAAAAACTATTAAAAGTAGTAGTTGTGAAACAAGAGCTGTACAGGTTTGTTTTCAGCAAAGGGTGCTTTGGGCTGTGTATAAGCCCTGAGTATCTGTTTCAGCTCAGACTTAGATGGTGACTCTGTTTCATATGGAGGCTTAACTGAATCTAAGCTTAACTGATGTTCTCCAGGCTGCCTTCTGCAGCTCATGGAGAAATATTCCAGGAAATAAGGTCATCCCAGCTAAGAGCTGAGTGTCATTCCTGAAACTGTGGAATGTGCCTGCAGACAGCATTGAGGGCTGCTGGCTCTCTCATACAGCACCCTGGGGAAGCAGCAGGCCTTTAGGAGGCACAAATCCAGAACATAACCCTGCTACTGCTGTTTCTCCTTAAGTGAATATTGCATTTTACCCACAGAGACAATAAAAATGCCAGCTAGTTAAACTGTGTAAGCTGCAGATGAGGCCTTTCTCCTCTTATCATCCCCCTGGATAAAAACAGTGGTTTCTTTTTGCCTGATTTTATTGTGAAAAAAGCTTGCACTGAAATGAACTCTTCTGCTCTGCTGCTGCAGCACAGACACTCAAGGCAATACCAAGCATCTGGATGACATTACACCTCAAGAATCAGAATTTGAATCCCATTGGAAGCAACTATAAAGTCACACAGCCTTTGAGCAGCCTATAAACCATCCACCACGAGAAATATAATGGAATAACTGAGGCATTCAAGTATCCTTTTGGTGCTGCCCCAAGTACAGCACGCTGCTGACAGTGCAGCCAGCAGCAGTGATTGCTGTGGAAGGAGCTGGGCATCTGAGCCAGAGCAGGCTGGAGTCAGTAAGTCTTTCCATTTACTTTGGTGGACTTAGAGCTCAGCTTTTAATGACTCATGCACTCCATGGTGCTGACTGAGGCAAACCTTCCTTCCTAAGGAGCCTGAACTTGGCATCAGAAGTGAGAGGATGCAATCAGAAGTCTTAGTTTGGTGTCCCAGGCTTTGAAAGTAGAGATACTAAATTATATAAATATACATAAAAGCTGTGTAAACTCAACACATCATCCTTTTGCCTCACTGATGAAAATCAGATGGTTATTTTCTCCAGTGTTCTTGTTACTGAAGAAGCCTTTGCTAAAATACCTCTAAAGCTCAGGTCATGTACCCATGTACCCTCTCTCCCTTGCTGTGACGTGAGGGTGAGGCTGCTGTGTTACCTTTGAGCTGGAAGTCATTGAAGTTACACAATTCTTTATGACTTACAATTTGTCAGATAGAGGTTGTTTTGACTTACAGTGGGTGACATACTGCACATGTCCAAGGAACCAAAATAAACCACATCAGGCAGAAAAAGTGTTAAATCAGGGAATACAGGTTTTTGAGAACATTTAACTATATTCATAGAAATGAGTAAAACAAAACATTTTCTCTATGCAAATCAAAAATGTCAGATATCTTTCTAGGCACATAATAATTTGTGTAATTTCTGGGAGGACTTACCAGAATTAAAAAGAATAATTCCTTTAAGATAGGCGTATTCTTTTGCACTTATGTCCAGGTCCCAGAATTTCCACAATAAATTCTTCATCTTCTGAACTTCTGTGAAAGATGCCCCTGCTGATGAGCTGCCCAGTTCATTCATAGCTGTTGAAGACTGATTGAGGAGGATTTTTTTCAATAAACTGGTGGCTGGAACCTCTCTCAGGTCAAAATCCACTCCTTCTTGTGCCATGCCCAGGACAAAAAGAGGGGCCCAGTTTTGTTGTATGAGGACAAACTGATCCTCCCAAGGCATGTGATAAAAAGAAGGTAAGTTTCTAATGAAAGTTGAAGTCTTCAACAGCACTTCAGAAGCTCTTCTGCATGTGGCTTCTGGTGTTCTCAGGACAACTCTTCTGTCCAAACAAGGGCAGCATTTCCTTCTTGCAGAGCAGTGGGGGCTGCAATGCTGCTGGTGCCACTTGGTCTCACTTCCTTGCTCTTTGTTCAGGATCTGGTACAGGATGCTTTTAGAATGGAGTGTCCCACACTGACATTTCCCACATTTCTCAGCAGGGATCTTGGTGGCCATGCAGCCAGAGTTCCCTGTGGCAGGAAGCAGCATGTCTGGAGCTGTGCGTCAGCAGCGGGGAGGGCCCTTCTGCCACACAGGGAGGCATTGTGTGCTTATATAGACCTGGGCAGGTGTTGGAAAGCGATATGACCCTGATCCATAAGGTTACCTTGAACTTTACTTGCACCAGTGTGTTTTGAATGGGGCGTGGCTGCAGGCTGCTGGCGTCCCTTGGCTGCTGTAGCCCAGGGTGGCATGGCCAGTCCTGGGGACAGTCCTGGAGATGGAAATCCTGTGTTTCAGAATTACCTCAGGTTTCTGTGAGATTTGAGAGGAACCTCAGAGAACGTCAGCTGTTGGGAGTTCATGACAGTGTTCTCTCTTGCATTTCACAAATGGTAATTTCAACCACAGAATGTGAAGGCTTAAGTCATAGAATTGATTAAGTTGGAATAGACCTTTCAGATCATCAAGTCCAGCCATTAACCCAACACTGCCAAGTCCACCACTAATCCATGTCCTCAAGTGCCACATTTACATGCTTTTAAGTGCCTCCAGGAATGGTGACTCTACCACTTCCCTGAGCAGCCTGGGCACCTGGGCATTGATGTAGAACAAAACAACACAAGACATCCAGTACAGCTTCCTCCTTCAGAATATTTCTCCCAGACAGGCTGTGTAATTAAATTTTCCTCATAGAAATTGATGAAACAAAAATGGCAATTCATACTAGTGTATATGGGAACTTTTGTAGCAGCACAAGAGCTGAATGATTGAATTGTCAGGACTCTTCAGCCAACAGCAGGGAACACGAGGTAGCAGGAATGAAAGCAACTTAGCCTTAATAAGAAGACATTGGTACTTCAAGTTTTTGTTACTTCACACTCTACTCTCTTGCTTGCTCTTATACAGGGGAAAAGGTACTAAGTTTTTTCACCGAACATGATGTTTATGCATTCCTACCATCTGGGCTCTTAGCATGTCTCAGCAAGAACTGGGCATTAAAAACAACAGCGTGAAGGTCTCTATCTGCCAGATCTCCAAGCCTTTGGTGTGCAAAGGCCCTCCCCCCCCACCATCAGATGCCTAACTGCAAATTTGTCTTTTACTACTCCAGGTTTGGGTTTTTTCCATGCTGGTCTATTTTAAGTACATTCTTTACCTCTTCATGATATTTATGTTGCAAAATTTTCCCCTTCTGAGGAGGCAAAAAGTGGAGTAAGAGATGTCTGCTCCAAAGTTGAGAAATTTAGGAGTGTAGTGCTGCTGAGGTGCAGTGACTGCTAACTGCTGTGGAGGTTCAGGGCACACACAGCGCTGAATACCTGGTGGTATTTGCTTGTCCACCTCTCCATTCATTCAACAGCTCCCTGTTGCTGTCCATTGCTGGGGTATCAAAGAGCTTTGTAAGTTAAATGGCACAGCAATAGGGAAGTCCCCAGAAAGTCCCCAGAAAGGCCCCTCCCTCTTATTCCTGATGTAAAATTCAAGCTGGGCTGAGGTTGAATGGAATGAACTCCAGTTACAGGGGCATTGCCATCTGAGGTTCAGCATGAATGATATTGATTGGCTAATGGCTGTACTAGAAAGACATACTGAGCTTGCTAAAATCATTCTTGCAGAGTGTTTGCTTGTGAAAAGAAGTTCTGTCTCCTAACTGCTGGTGAGTGTGGTGGTGTTTCAGTAATCTAGGCAGCAGAGCTCTGAGCAGCCCAGCTCCTGTGCTCCAAGAGCAACATCTCATGGTTAACCATTTCACTCTCTGGTACATGCCACTATTTCACAGCTCCTATTAACTGTGCTTATGAAAACTCTCCTTCAGGTTAAATTGGCTCTTTTCCTACTTTTTTCCTTCTGAGGTCTCCATCAGTCATATGCAGAGTTCTGATGTCAGCAACGTATGGTATTGGATACCATTTCTATTTGTCATCATTTATTTCCTTTGTTTGTGTATAGAGCTAAGAGGCAGAAGCAAATTATATTTCTTTCTATCAGAATTTCCCAGTATGTATATATAAATAGATATATATAATTATATAATAATTGTATGACTGTTTACCAAAAATAAGAGTAAAGGTCACTGCACCAGTATGACTGCCTAGGATGCATTATACATTATCAGATTTCCTGAGAAAATGATTACTTAGAATTATGAGTCAATACTGAATTGCAGGTGAAACTGATCCTGGTCATCCTGATCCAAAACTGACTGCCTGTGTGACCCAATTTTCTCAAAGGTAGAAGACCAGCAGCCAAATTCAGCTCTATACTTATAAATAGTATTATAGTTAATAAATAGTTAATTTTTCTTTCTAAATCTTACCTATAGAATGGTTGCAGCCACATGCACCTAGATATGAAGCATGCTGCAGTAGCAATGATTCATACTTTCAAATGTTAAGGAAGAACAAAATAGAAAACCCAATTTTGTGATATGATAAATCCCCATGGATTTCTATCTATTTTAGCTGTCTCTAGCATGCTGGCTTGAGGACAATGAGACACAATCACATCAGTGTTATCTTTTGTTTTTTGCATTTATATACTTTTTCAACCTAGGAGACACCCATGCCCACAAATACTCACTGCCCCCACATTCTCTCTGAAACCATCAGAATTGCTTCTCCAGCACAAGTGTTGCCTTTTGGACAACAATGCAATGTGTCCTAAGTTCACACACAAAATTAAAAGAACTGAGAGAGAGTTGGTTTAGATTAGATATATGGAAGGAATTCTTTACTGTGAGCCACTTGTGAGGCACTGGCACAGGCTGCTCAGAGAAGCTGTGGATTGCCCATCACTGGGAGTGTTCAAGGCCAGGTTAGAAGGGCTTTGAGCAACCTGCTCAGTGGAAGGTGTCCCTGCCCATGGCAGAGGGGTTGGAGCTAGATATCTTTAAGGTCCCTTCCAACCCAAGCCATTCTATGTATATTCACCCCATTGCTGAGCATTAAAATTGCTGGGAATTAAAATAATAAATATCTCATTGGCTCCAAACATATAAGACGTATTATTTTTGGCTCATAGTCCATAGCATTAAATCACTTAATGGAATACTTGGAAGTCTGAAGAGACTTGTCAGATAGTAGAGGAGCTTACATGACAAATTTATTCTTACCTTGGCAGTAGCCAAACATGAATCTTTCAGGAAGAGTGTATGATACATACCACTCTTCTCATGACTACTTTTCTTGTCTTGAATAATTTGCATCTTAAGGAAATCCTGAGCCAGAATCACTTTATTATATATTCATTTAATAACTTTCAATTAATTTCTAACCTTTGTTCCTATGCAGTCTGCTTCTAAAGCCACAAGAACATCCACATCAGCCTATGTCAAGGAATTCTCTGTGGATGCTTGTAAGTGAGACAAAACTTGATCAAACATTACATTTACAGTATCTGGTGCCTTCTTGCTCTTTTGCTGTGGAGGAAAAAGGGGAATCAATCAATCAATCCTTATTCATCCTGTCTATTACTTGGTCTACTTATAAATCTCTGTAAGATTCCTTTTGTCCAAACTAAAGAGTTGTAGCTTCTTTCTTTAGAGTGACACAAGGCCTTTGTTCATCTTGTTAACCTTATTTGAATCTTTCCTAGCCCTACAGCTTTTCTAAGATATTCTTTAGAGGGATGTACATGAAGTATCAGGATAGGACACAATATCCAGGCCTTAGGAAAGCATGGATTTATACAGAGACAGGATGAAGTTCTCTGTTTTGTCTTTCTCAGAAGTCACTTCTGAACAATGAGCTGTTGTTGCTGTGGAACAGTCACAGCCCCCAGGTTTTATTCCTGAATGATGGTCAGAAGTTCAGAGGCTCTTAAATTCATCAGTAGAGTCAGGAGTGGTTTATGTGCATCTTTTGCCATATATGCATACACACATATACTTCATCATCATTTGACACCTAGCTGATGATTTTCATAAAGCCTTTCTGCAATTCTTCTGAAAGTCCTGTCTTCCTCCAAATAATTTTGTACCATCAGCAGACATTGTTATTCTCAAAATTTGAAGGCACTGCTCTTCAGAATAGTTCACTCAATGCTGTGAGTCGTTTGAAAGACTATAATAATTTAACTATTAAGAGAAAGAAGATCTGACACTGTCCTTATAGTAGAGTGTCCATATATACAAGCACATAAATGTTGGACTGTACATATGTACACCATATATATAGTAACTGTGTTATTACCAAGCATTGATGTGAGCTCTCCTACTTTCCTAAAAGGTAAAATTGGAGGCAGATGCATTTCTGGAGGAGAAGAATCTTCTGCTATTATTTCATATGGGCTTTAAGAAGGAAATGCCTTCCCAGGAAACTGACAGCAGCCTTTCTGGCGTCACACCAGCTTGATATGTGCACATTTTCCTTGATTCAGTGACCTCTTATCACTCTGGTCTCACTTGAAAACATTTAATTGGCCTATAAACATCCATATGACTACAGAACAGGAATCTCTAGAGTTTTATACAATGTGTTTTCTGGGAGAGGTTGGGTGAATTCCGTGTCACTGGCACTTTTGAGGACAGCTGACCTCTCTAACAGCCTTAAGAAAAGGAAACAGCAATAAAACCATTATCTTTCTAGAAGGGTTCCATTTCCTCCATCTTTCTTGAGCTATAAAGGCATTCATTTCTCAGCTAGAGAAACTAAAAGCTACCATTCAGACTGCCAGCTTTGGCTAGGCAGATACTGGGAAATACCAGGTCCACATTGAAACCTGCTCATCTTTTAAACAAGTTCTGAAACAATGTCTTTACCTTATGAGAATGCCATCATAAAGTAGGATTTGACCCTAATATCTGAAATAAATCTACATGAATAACAAATCCAGTTAATTTAAACATGCTTAGCCTACCTTGAAGCTCAAGTTATTGAGGGTAAGCATGTGCTTAAAATGCATTTGTTGGTTGTGTCTGATAAAATCAGCATCTTTTTGATGATAGCCATTTGAATAAATTAGCAAACTAATAGAGAGGCAGCTGCCCTGCCGTGAAATGTTTTCTAACACTGAAACTAGGCCTGTTTTAAATTTGCCTCTGGTGA